AGAAAAAGGAAAAGAGGAGATAAGTACTGTTTGTATACGTGCAATTAAAAATTACATGATTTGTATACTTGCAAATAAAAAATCCCCCTAATATATTAATAAAGAATGCACTGAGCCTACGTGGCTGTTTCTGGTGCTTCAGAATCCTATGTGGCAAAATTACATACTTCGTTATTAGGCTTGGGTAAATTTTAATTTAATTCCAAACCAAAAATAATTAGGTTCGGATTACCATAAATATGTTGATTATTTATGATCATGCTAATGTTTTAATTGTATTTTAATATCATCCTTATTATAACTATTGAATTGTATATATATTTTAAAAGTTAATAACTTTTGTATTTTTTATCACTTTTATATATGTGATATATCAAGTTAATCTTCTTTTGATGAGCTCCGATTTAACATCCATATTGTATGTATAAAAAAATAATTTATATTTATCTTTATAACAATTATAAAATTACTTTTAATATTTTTTAGAAAAATAAAATTATTTATCAACTAATATATTTATATTTCAAGTAGTTATATGATATAAGTTATAAAAACTAATATAATATAGGAGTTTTCTCAATCTAAGCCTTGAAGATGGATTAACTATCAATTTGGGTCTCGAAAGATTATTTTTATCAATTCGGGGCCTGAATATTTTAAAACTGTCAATTCGGGTCCTGAATGTTTCAAAACTATCAATTCGAGGCTCTTGTAATTAACACCGTTAAATAGTCTTTCTTAACATGTGATATGACTGATAAAATAATACAATCACTAAAAACTCAAATACAGCATAATTCTCATCGTGTTTCTTTCATTTTCATTAAACATAGTAATAATTCTCACTAAGTATCATTAGAAAACTTTTGTCATTTTCATCAAGAACTTTGTTTTCTCTGTACGAACAACACAACATAAACTCAAATACAATTTGCATAAAAAATTTAAACCAACATTTGTAATACACCAAAACGTCCATGATTAATTTCTTTTGATCTACAACTCGAGTATTTGAATAATTTTCAAAATCAATTAGAAAATGACAAATATTTTGCTACTAATAATCCTGGAGCCCATACATATGGATATACATTAGCAGAAAACTTACATGTTCAAAACGTTGGTCGAAGAGTTGAATATGAGCTTCGTATAACAACCGGAATTAATTACATGTGAACAAAGAAGGAAGAAGGGTTTTGTGTAAAAAGGACGAAAGGTTTTCTGAAAAAAAAGGACGAAAGGTTTTGTAAAGTTGAATAGTTTATCCTTGCTCTGTTTCAATCGTTCTCCTAAAACCTCATTTTAATTCTATATAATTTAATCACACTTTAATGTTAATAATAGCCATATCACATGTTAAGAAAGACTATTTAACGGTGTTAATTACAAGAGCTCTGAATTGATAATTTTAAAACATTCAAGCCCCGAATTGATAAAAATAATCTTTCGAGGCCCGAATTGATAGTTAAACCATCTTTCAGGGCTTGGATTGGGAAAACTCCTATAATATAACACATGTAAGTCATAAGTAACACATATCATTCTAAAATATATAGTAATATATTTTTTTTTTGTAAAAAAATAAACTAAATTTAATATAATTTTCTCATTAATTTTAAAATTTAAGAATAATTTTTTAACAAGCACCCGTGTAATACACGGATGTTGTACTAGTAAGATGAGTACATGTGCAAATAAAGTTGATTTCCATGGTGGGTGGAGTAATTTTCTCTAACAAATATTGTTATATTAATGGCTCAATATTCATGCTTTCCAAACAATTGAAATTGGGCTCATATTTGTTAAATTCCTGACCCAATAACGTTTAATATCAGATCAGATATAAAATAAAGCAAAAATTGACCACATATATTGTAGTACAAAAATAATCATCTAACCAAGTAAAACAGTTAAAAAAAAAAAAACCAAGTAAAACAGTTACTTGTATAAATTTAATACATATAATAGTGTTTGTTATATTAGAAACTTGATTTATTTATTTTTTTATTTGGTCCACTTTAATTTTTCACAAATGTTTAATTTATTGAGTTTGACATGATTAAATTTATAGAAGTTGTATCTTAAACCAATGATTTATGCCGAGATTATATTATGATGTTTACTATTGTTTGTTTTTATTATTTGTTATTATTGTTTCTTTTATCATATAGTTTTTTTTTTTGCACAAATGCACGAGTTAAAACTAATACGGATAAACTAAATGATATGTATGTATAAATTGTGGATTTATGTGAGATATTTATCCGTAACAATAATGAGGGAAAAGAGGAGAAAAAATGGGGTAGAGTAATTTAGGAGTGTGGTAAGTTATCGATCATTTTAATTTTAAAAACAATATCTGTAAAACTATATAGACTTCGGATCATAGAAAAGAGATCAATTTCAATATTTTTTTAAACAAATTAATAAAACTTTATATATTAATTTTATAATATACACCGGGGGTGGTTTGTATTAATTTAAAAAGATTTAGTCTAAACGTAAAAACTGACTCATTAAGATAAACATAATTAATTTATTATATTATATATGAAATATAAATCATTAAGATAAACATAATTAATTTATTATTTTATATATGTAATATGAATGTAACATATTAAATTATTTTTTTGGGATACTTAATTCGAAACTCTTTTTTTATATGTAAAATGAAATAGTATTTAGTTCTTTCATATAAACTAAAATTTAAACATTTCTATCAATAATGATTTCAAAATTGATATTTATGTAGAATAAAATTTAAATAAAAAAAAGATCATCAAATAAATAATAACATATAACAATTTATTTTATTTATTTGTATTATTATGTATCGGTAGAAAAGAAAAGGATACAGCTGTGGTGATCGGTGCAAATACTTAGGTGCGTTCTGGCACATCAAAGTGTGTCAAGATATTTTTAAAATGAACATGTGTAAATGTGTAAATATGTTTACACATGTTTATTTTATTATGTAACATGCTCATTTTAAACTGTACGTATCTTGTTAGGTGTGTCATGTGGTATGGTTAGTAAGTGTTTATAAAAGCAGGCCAAAAAGTCCTACCGCGAGACCATTCTTCCTGTGATATTTTCTCTCTCTCCTTTTTCCAACAGTTCACTTCCTCTATGGAGGCCCCACCACTCTCCACCACTCCCCCAATTCCCTCCACCACCCCCCAAAAGCCGGCGGCCTACACGGACTCCGGTAACGCCGACCCCCCGCCGCCGAAGCTTCGCCTGATGTGCAGCTACGGTGGCCACATCGTCCCCCGCCCCCACGACAAGGCCCTCAGCTACGTCGGCGGCGATAGTCGCATCGTCGTTGCCGACCGCCACGCCACCCTCTCCGACCTCCACCGCCGCCTCTCCAGGAGCCTCCTCCGCGATCAGCCTTTCTCGCTCAAGTACCAGCTCCCCAGCGAGGAATTGGATTCCTTGATCTCGGTCTCCACGGATGAGGATCTCGAGAACATGGTGGAGGAGTACGACCGCCTGAACAGTGCCTCCGCAGGCGACGTCTCCAAGCCCGGCCGCCTCCGCCTCTTCCTGTTCCCCAAATCAGAGTCGAGCGTTGAGCGGATTCTCGCCGAGACCGCGTCCGCTAAATCGGAGGAGTGGTTTTTCAGCGCCTTGAACGGGAAATCGGGCGCTCATTCAGCTGCCGCCAGCGATCGTGGATTTTCCGACTCGTCGTCGGTTAATTGCCTGCTTGGATTGGACGATGATATTGTGGGGAAGGCCTCTGTTGTGGAGAGCGGCGGTGGCGCCGGATTTGACGATTTGAAGGCTGGTGTCAATGGAAACGAGAATCCTAATGGCAATAATCATGTAATTAATCAGGATGTGCAGTCTGTTCCCAATTCCCCCATGCTGGGAACGTCGTCGTCCTTCGGGTCTACTTCCAGTTCCCCTTCCGTCGCTAATTTGCCGCCGATTAAGGTGCACGCCGATGAGAACCCCAAG